ACCACCCTCGCCGTCCCCCACCCCATTCATCTCCACGGCCACGACTTCTTCATCCTCGCACAGGGCTCCGGAACCTACTCCAGCTCCATCACCCTCAACACTAGCAACCCGCCCCGTCGCGATACCGCTATGCTTCCCTCCTCTGGATACCTCGTCATGGCTTGGGAGACTGATAACCCGGGCGCCTGGCTCATGCACTGCCACATTGGCTGGCACACGTCCGAGGGTTTCTCGATGCAGTTTGTCGAGCGCTACAGCGAGATTGCTGCCATCACTGACAACTCTACCCTCACCGACACTTGCGACACCTGGACCACCTTCCAGGAGGAGTACTCCATCGAGCAGGAGGACTCTGGTGTCTAAATGGTTTATGAGGAACATCTACAGTACAGCATAATCATTGGGTAGACTAGCATCGGGTTAGCGGTTTCCTTGAGTCTTGAGATAAAGGGGCGGGTTGGCGAATAGGGTTTCAATTTGTGTATTGCATAGTTCAAGTTCCATCCATACACGAAAAAGGAAATATTTATATCTTGACCACGTTTAAAATTTTGATTGTTAGTGAAAATTGATTGTTGGATTGTCTTTGGAGCTATTTTGTGGTCTGAATCCTTACGATGTAATGGAGCATTCTAATATCGAGCCTACTAACCATCGTGATATTCACAGTTTGCCTTGTGAATGATCTATCCTAGCCCCCTGACATGACTATTGGACACTTAAAGTCAGTCAACGGGTGTCATGAAGCTCCGTTTTTCTTGATATATCATCGGCAAAAAGGTCGTCATTTTCTATGTACGGCGTGCTCCTGCCGTCATCTATATTTACATTAACACTTAGTATAAAGCAGGAATAATAACTTTACGCAACTCATTTGGTTCACAGATAGCTTGCAGATAGGTCTCTTGGTATTGGCTTCACGTTTTCTAATAGTGATATTGTAGGGTCTTGCTCGCAATATTTTCGATTTCTGCCGAAAGACTCGAAAATGGCGAGCTCTCAACTGTGAATCACCGGAGGTGGGCATAGGAAAATTATCCAAGTAACCGCAATAGGAGTAGGTGATTATTTTAATATTCAAAAACTTACTGGGCTTTTCGCTCAAGTTCAACATGTTTGTTCAAGCCTATCAAGTGGGCTTCACTAAACAGCTCTCATGTGAATAATGCCTTCTTATTTGGTAGTTGATTATGAGTTTTTTGTATTCTTTTCAGAATACATTTGGTATTAAACAACTGCAAATATATTTTCTCTATATATAGTCCTTTGATTCCAAGTATAGACTTTGAATACATTTTACTTTCTACTGATCTCCAGGAGTATCATACTCATGACTAAGATTCCATAAGTTCCTGCTTCAAACTACAAACAAAGAGTTTCCTCCAGTTTCCTCCAGTATTTGAAAAACTCAATGACCAGGCTTTTATTCTTTGAAATGGCCGAATGAAATACCATAAGATGTACTCGATTTTGCACGATTGCTACCTAGGGTATTCATAAAGGTTGGCCTGAAGAGCTTGGCTGTTTGAGGTCTGGGAAACGCATTTAAGTTCATCTAAACCCTCAGCTAATTCCAGAAACGCTTGTACGATTTATCACTAGCACGAAAGTTGCTATCTACCTCAGCCCACGAGTCTTCCACTGTTGTTTCTTGTTCAAGTTATTTGTACTTGCGGACGTAAGGCTTTATTCTTCAGCATGTTCCTCTCAGCACTGCAGCAGCAGATCCACCTCTCAAGTTCCACCCAACTCCATGCTTGCATCGTGACGGTAGCCTTGTCCCCACGGAATCTTTTCAGAGCCTCTTCACGTGAACCTCCTGCGTTTCAGCATAGTTACGACTGCATTTTAGGGACGCTATTCCTCCGGCGTCGTTTCCCTCTACCCCAATAACGTGTTGTCGTCTTTCTCTATTTGTCCTACGTAATAAGCATGACCCTCGGTCAAGGCGCGACTTGCACTCCTCGACGTCGGATGTCTGCAACTTTTACAGCCACGGGGAAAGGAAAAGCTTCATTGCTCTCTAGTACTCTACTGTTGATACAATCCTACTGCCTTGATAGAATTTTGTCTATCGCCACCAAGTCATGGCGAAAAAATGCAAAACGCTGGATCCTTTGACACAACTTGTATTTATGTTCTTTGCGGTCCACGAGCGTATGTGTCTGTTGTTTCTAAGGACTTGCCACAGACTCATGATGGTGATTACTCATCAGCTTTGAAGTTGTGCCCATCGAAGCTATTCTAGCCTCCTCGAAATTCACCAGGGTTTCGGCTCTTTCAGGCTTGGATCTCATCGTTCTTATGAGAATTACTCGCGTCATTAATGGGGAGACGGACTGCAGAATGCTTTTATACAGACGCACTTGATAACAAAAAGCCGTAGAGAATCATTGAAAACTCGTAGTGCTTGTCCACTGTATTGAGCACGATAGTCTTTCTCGCAGTCGAGAGTTTGTTGTTCATTCACGCCATGCTCAAGCCTTCGAGTGTTCCGTTCATCCCACATCGCCGAGCAAGGCAGACAATCTGCGCTCTCTTCATTAAAAAACCGGCAGCTTCCTATCTGGTACGAGCGCGCTTTGATGCAAACTGGCGAGCAAAAGTTCCATCGATTCAAAGTTGTCATATTTAATTGTAATCGCAACATCAACAAGCAAGCTTGAACTGCCAAAAAGCCTTGAGTTGCCGACGAGTCACCTCGGTAAGCAAATCATTTTATTAGTCCATCTCAAAAGTCTCAAGGCTTGTTCTTTGTCTCTCTCTCTCTCCGATCATGATCATCGCCAAATTCAGATCAGCTTGCGCTGTCCTGAAAACAACATCACATGGTGTCAGAATAATTGAGCCGCTTTGCACTTGAGCTTTGGTCTTTTCTCGGGGTTGCACTGGGCATAGGTGGTCAGTACATGAATCGCGTTGCAACGATTCGTAAGTGCTGCGGACATACAGTGGACATTCAGCGAAGATCATCATTTTGCTTGATAGCATTCAGCCTATACCTCCGGCTAAGTCCCAAAAAACTTGGTATACACTTAGAAATGTCTATTTTGGTTTATCTCGGTGCTGATGACGACGCAACTATGTTTTCCCCTCCTCTCTCAGTAATAACTCACAGAGTAAGGTTGTTGAGTATAATCCCACGTGTATGGTGTGCCGTCTATCCGACCTTTGTTGGAAACTTTTTTCAGCCCCCAAGGATGGCTTCGTCATCATCACCAGCCCTAGGTCATACTTGTAAGTCACGGGTTGGCAGTATTGGCCTATTGAGGGAGGGCAGTCAAAGTCAAACAGGCCAACTTCAGCCCCCAACGCCAACGCGGTCAAGAAGGGAGCGTCGTGCCGTCGCACCCGCACTTATTATTATCTACAGTTATCGTAGTTGTTTAGCACTATAGACAGGGCTCTACGTCTGCAATATGCGTAAGGTCAGTTTTCCCCCCTCTTTCAGGGCCTCAGCCTCACAAGAATCGAAGAGCCCCAACCAAAAAGAACCAAGGGGAAATTGCAAGCATATTTTCGGAATGGGTGTTTCTCTCGCCAAAAGCTGCAGCAGGGTGTTCCAGGGACTGCCAATTGCTGAATGGGGAGCGTTGTCCGGTCTCACAGGCTTTGTTGGGGAATCAGCACCGGGAATGCCTTACGATGTTAACCCACTTCACTTGAGGCTTGAGGGGGTACCCACGCAAATCAGGGCTCGTCAAGCCTCAAGAGGGTCGAAAAGAAGGGGAAGCTTCTTCGTAGCGGCGGGATTTTACCCCTGAACCCGCACCGTCACCCCCTGAATCGGCTTCCCGGAATGGCACTCTTCTGGAATGTGGGGGATTTAGAGCGCCGGGAACCGCAAAGCTTGGGCGGATGCAATGCAGGGGTATCCACGTCCTTTCTTTGCACATCCCCAGCCATGTTGTTGCCCGTCTGAGTGTTGCCATCTGGTACCTAGTGTCCACAGTTTGGCAGTTGTGTTGCGGTGCCCCGTTGACGGCAGCCCGGCAGGGCTTATTACTTTCTAGCTTCTTTAGGCATTAAGCCTCATGCTTGGCATCGAAGCTTTTTTGGTGTTCCCCACGTCGGGAGTGGCTTGTGAACCGTAACGTCAGATCTGTAACTGTGCATGATGGAACGCTCGCTTGTTACGTTATCGGGAATCCCCCTCTCTGATACTGTCCCGAACGTCTGTCTGTTCATGAAGCTCGAGGCTCACGAGTGTATCCCAAGGAGCCTCAATGAGTCCCGAAAAGTTCCAAGGAGTCGCCGACCTCGGTCTCGCCCCGGCTCATCAAGCCTCAGCCGTCGCAGGGTCCAAGCGTAGGAGACCTTGTTGGCTTTCCCTCAACCCTTAGTTTGGGATCATCCAGCCAGTAGGGACAATAGGAGAATTTCGATCGCATGAAGATGCCCCGGACGAACGGTTTGAAACGCTCAGGTTGGTCGCCCACATCGCGGGTTAAACCTGCCATCTCATGAGGCTGTGGCATGGCCAAACATACTGCTATAGTCTGTTAGCGAAGAGAACATGGGACGGCAGGAGGCCTTCTCACTGGTTCTCGAAGGCCGCTCCTTGCACCTAGCCAGGTGATGACGAGGGCCTCAACGTCGACAGAGTGACATCCGGGACGTCGATCGTCAACTTTCACCCACCACGCGTTCCGGAGACTGGCTGTGTAAGACGCTCGTGCAATGCGTCGTAAGACTCTCCATCGACGTACCCAGTCTATTGTAGATCGTCAGTCGAGCTTCTAGTCAAGCTCGGGAAAGGGAGTCAAGAAGCCCTCGAAACGCAGAGCTCAACTTGACCATAAAAGAAGACCTTTGTCCTGTCCAAATCACAACCTTTCTCTTTCTCCTCACCACCAACAACCAGTTCAATCTTCAATCACTCTCAAGCATCTCTCACTCTTCCATCTTTCGCTCTCTCAGCACCACTTTCGCTCTACTACACATTTCAGTCTTCACACTTCTTTTTCAAGAACCACCACCAACCACCCCCAACCATCAAAATGCAGTTCACCATCGCCACCATCATTGCCTTCGCTGCCGCCGCTCAGGCCGGTCCCCTCGCCATCCGCGATGTCTGCAACTCTGCTCCCTCCGGCCCTACCACCGCCAACGTCGAGCCCCGCTCCCAGCCCGCCGCCGCCACCGCGGACGCCTGCCAAAAGCTTTGCGAGGCCGACTCTGGCTGCCAGTCCTTCGTCTTCGGCCTTCCCCCCTCCGGCACCACCCCTCTCTGCTACCTCTACGCCGTCCCGGCTTCTCAGGTCCCCAAGCAGTCCAACACCAACTTGGTGGTCTTTGACAAGGCTTGCACCAGCGTCCCCACCGTCGCTCCTACCCAGACCAACACCGGCGCCAACAACGGCAACACCGGCTCCAACACTGGTGCCAACACCGGCAACGCCAACACCGGCAGCAACAACAACGGGGGCGAACAGCCCAAGAAGCGCGCTAACGTCTGCGGCGCCGCCCCCGCCGGTCCCGCGACAAGCAGCCCCACCCCTCTCCTGAGCCGCGAGGATATCACCACCCAGGACGCCTGCTTGGCTCTCTGCAAGCAGACCACTGGATGCCAGGCCATCGAGTTCGGCAAGCCTTCCGCCAACGAGCCGGTCCAGTGCCGCCTCTTCAACGTCCCGGCTTCCAGCCTGCCCGCTCCCACCAACGGTCAGACCTTCGTCGCCTTCGACATTGGCTGCTAAATGCACACACGTGCATAGCATCACGATAAATTCCACGGCGTGCCTTCGCTTGACGCGGCTCGAATCGGCGAGTTGGCTCAGAAGGTAGTGCTTTACTCTTCTACTCTCTCTCATAGCGTGGTTGGCCACAATGACTTCTGCTTTGTATACATCGGAACGGAAAATTCGACAATCCTCCTCTTGGGACTTGGATCTTTGGGGGAATGGGGTACAACAGACGCTTGTGAATGAATGAATGGTTTTCCTGGTTGGTCATGGATAGAACACTCTTTTGGTATGCACTTTTTCTTAGCTCGATTTTTCGGAACAGTCATTCGTTTGGATATAGAAAAGGAACAACAGAAAAGGAAAAAAGAAAAAAAAAGGAAATTGTATAGTAGGCAGCAAAATAGACTCGAGTTGGGAAATTCTTCCAGTGCCAACCATTGTGCGACCTATGCCTTTATGATACTCACCTTTTGAATCATCGTTGAGGTACCTGAGCAACCACTTCAGCCACTAGCTGGTTAGCAAGAGCTGAGCTCAGTCAGTCGCCTTGCAGAGGATTGCAGGCAGCTCAAACGAAAGGGACCGGATCTGTTGAAATGAAGTAGACTACTTCTGGAAACCATCTGCGAGGTCGCAACCATCGGCCGACACCTACCGGAATGGGTCGAAACCGGGAATCGGAGAAAAGGTGGGACGACGGACTCTTAAGTGGAACCGTATTGCTGACCGGTCGGCACCGTGGGGTCGGATGGAAGCCGCCATTATCGAACAGGCGCCGGACAGCGGAGATGCAAGCCGCGGTCTAGCGTCAGATGCGCGGAGAAACAAGACTTTAAGCTGAATCGACGGGACGTGGGGGTTCATCTCTAAAGTTGCCAAGCCGAGCCGAGCCAAGGCATTTTAACAAGAAATTGCACCAGGTACTACACAGTTGCCATGTTGGGGGCCGTTGGAGAGAGCAAAGAGACCCAGTCAGCAATGTCGCCATCGACTTCAACATGAGGTGATTCAAATGAGCCAATCACACAACTCGCAAACGAATTTCACCACCCACCTTTGTTGGCGCCATCCACCCGGCAGTGGTGACCTGCAACGGCTTCTACGCAATTACAGGAATGGTGCCCCGGGAAAATGTCATCATTGACTGATGATGCCATGCGGGCCCTGTGAAAACGACACTGAGGAACCGCTGGCAAAATGGACATTAAGTTGCGAAAACCTCTAAGCGAGGCAGTACCACCTAAGAAGGAAAGGAAACCTGCCCACTCGAGCAATCTATTCGCCAATCTCATTTTCCCTCGTGCAGAGATCTGCTCCGACAGTCTGGTCCGGATCGTTTGGGGTCCGCATTGATAAGCCGTGCGCGTGGCCGCAGAGTTTCTTTTCCAAACACGCAAACGACCTTAGAAATCGACTGCAGCCGGACACGCGCGGGTGTTCTTGGTACCGAGTAAAGCTGAGACCTCACCTTCTTCGAACACCAAGGCAGACAAGATAGCCACAAGCACTAGGGAGACAAGCTGAGAACTCACAACATCAGCGACGCACAATGAGCGCGCAAAATAATCCTCCGCCCGAGAAGGCGCTAGATACACCGGCGAATGATAACAGCGGGACAGATAGCCCGTCCGAGGTTGAGCTTGAGCAGGATATCGTCAATGAGAAGTCGCTGTTGAGGAAGCTTGATCTCAAGCTTCTGCCGGCGGTGGGCATCTTGTACCTTCTCTCATTCCTCGACCGATCTAATGGTGAGATTCTCAAGGAAACCCTGCTATGAGGCAATCTACTGATATCTACGTAGTGGGCAATGCTCGAATTGAAGGCCTTACCACTGATCTCAACATGAGTATGCTGCCTCAATCCGACAAATGGGTTAAAACCGAACCGATGTAGCTGACATTTGACAGGCGGTAACCAGTATCTGACTGGTCTAACTCTGTACTTCATCGGTTATGTCCTCTTTGAAGTAGGTGCTTTCGCAACAATGTTTCGAAGGGACATGTGCTCGTGCAATGCTAAACGTTCCAGATTCCATGCAACATCATCCTGAAAAGGACTACTCCACGCTTTTGGCTTCCAACACTCACTATCGCATGGGGCATTGTCGCGACGCTCATGGGAATCGTTACCAACATGGCCGGGTTCTTTGTCGCCCGCTTCTTCCTCGGTGTCACTGAGAGCGGTCTCTTTCCCGGAGTGGTGTACTACTTTTCAATGTGGTTGGTTTCAATAAGCCAGAAGCTTAAGGATGATATAGTTCTGACCCGAACTTCCTCAGGTATAAGCGTCGCGAGAGACAGTTCCGCATCTCCCTCTTCTTCAGCGCTGCCTCTCTTGCCGGTGCTTTCGGCGGTATCCTGGCATGGGGAATTGGACACATGAGAGTTGTATGGAACAATGGCTGGAGATGGATCTTTATCTTGGTTTGTGGCCCCCGATTGGATTCCAAAAAACGGTGCCTGACAATCTGATAGGAGGGTATCGCAACCGTGGTCATTGCTGTCGGCGCCTACTGGTTCATTCAGAACTACCCCGACACAGCCAAGTTCGTTTCCGAACAAGAGCGCCGCTTTATCAGGGCCAGATTGGCTTCCGACAGCGATGCCACTCATAACGAGAAGTTCTCGTGGAGCAATGTGATGGACGCTATCAAGGACCCAAAGTGCTGGTTGTACGGTCTTGGTTTCCACACCATGAGCTTGCCGCTGTACACATTCTCTTTGTTCATTGTGAGTGACTCTCACAAACTCACCCAAGGTCTAGTGGACCATCCCACTGACTTTACCTAGCCTACGATCATTAAGAACCTTGGATACACCGCGGCCGTTGCCCAACTGCTCACTATCCCCCCCTACGCGGTCGCCTTTGTCACAACATTGACGGTTGCGATCTACTCCGAACGCACCGGCCGCCGTGCCTTCTTCATCATGGGATCATCTGCGGTCGCAGCGATTGGTTACATCATTCTTTTAGCCAACTCAGACCCCGTAGGGAAGCCTGGCGTCTCCTACCTTGGAACCTTCTTCGCAGCTGCGGGAATCTACCCTGCCACCGCTCTCGTCCTCTCGTGGCCGGCAATCAACGTCTCCGGGCAGACCAAGCGTGCTGTAGGCAACGCAATGCAGATCACCATTGGAAATTTAGGAGCCGTGTTGGGAACACAGTTGTATCGTGCCAATGATGGTCCGAGGTACATTGTCGGCCACTCTTTTGCTTTGGGATATCTTTTGGCAAATATCATCGTCTGTGGTATCTTGTACCTTGTGTTGAAGGGCGAGAATAAGAGACGTGAGGCTATTGCACCCGAAGTTCAAGCAATTGGGGACTTGGAGGACTGGCCCGGTGACAAGGACCCTAGATGGAGATTCCAATACTAGTGCAGATCGGCCCTGGCTGGTTCAGAGCGTAAAGGGCAGTTCCATGCACAGGTAGTGCCGAGACTGAGTGCTTGGGTATGAAACCTAATTTGATCACGGACTTCTCAAGTTGAAGATCGAACCGCGAGTAGATTTTAATACCTCTAGAAGAATTAAGAGCATCCCTCACATTGGTTGCTGTATACAGCAAGCTGTGACCTCCCTCATGAAGCCATGCGTGTGCTTCACCAATAGTACGAAGAGAAGCATGAACTCGGAAATGGTAGGGTCAGTCGTTAAAGCAATGCCTTGTTTAGAAGCGCTTTTGTCCTTGTTGGCGGTAAAATCGGGAATCGCTAGACCACCTCACCCAGCAAAAGTCGGAAGTTGACTGTGACGCTTAGTTGGAGGAATTGAGGTTACATTAAGACTTGCTCGACTCAATGCTAACGCTGATTACATCTGTTCTTACAATATTTCTGCCCACGGCCTTCCCTTGAAGAATGCTCTCTTGGCTTCCCTTTGTGGCCATCGTTGTTGTTACCGTATCGTCAAAGCTGATCGCATCAGCATCGTGTTGCCTTCTGGCTACTCTCTTCTTCGCTTCCTTGGATCAAGACATTTCGATATCGGATCGATGTTGACCACTCTGACCCGAACCATAGTTCTCATACATATACCGGCCTCCCCTAGAACTGAAGAGGCGCTTGCCAAAGATGAGCTCGCCGAGAGGTTGGAGGACGGGAATACATGCAGCAATGATCATTATGCTGCCCTCGACTCTAGAAAAGGGAATTAGCACAAATTCTCAACACCCAATCGTGGCCGCCAATATTGAAGACAGTTGCGTAACTCACATGGTCCAAATTACCAAGTCCGAAGTGTTATCTGGAACATCACACCACTTTTTTAGACCCGGCGCGCTGTCACAAGCGGGAGTTCCGACAAACTTACATGAAAAGTCCAAGCTTGCGAGACTTGGAAGCCGAGAGCATTTGTATATGGCAACGATCGATGAGCTTTCCGTCAAGAATGTCAGTTTTCGGAAAGAAAAAAGAAAAATATTAAACTCCAACACGCACATTGACCCAATCCCAAGAGCGATGCTCAGAGCTACCTTCTTTCTCACACTCATCTGTAGCTTCGCAAGGACGACGGCTGGATAGATGGCCAAGTAAAGGTCCACAAACGCGCAGAAGCCTAAGTAACCTGTCAGAAATAGGATTCTAAAAGACAGGAATAGAGGGGGGTGAAGCACCTCCAGAATAGATAGCAAAGTAAACCAGAATCCACTTGTCCCAGCACGTCTTGTCTGTGACCAAAAAGTCCCACTGTGAGTGAGAAGGTTGGCATTGCGCAAAAAGAATGATTACGCATCCAATCAAGTTGATGAGACAAAATGTGGCGATGAACCACAGGAAAAGCGCATGCCATTTGCTGGGGTTCATGATTCGGGTGAGGAGCGCGACGACAGCAAGCTTCGGGAGTCCGAAAGACATGACGCCAGGAGGAAAGCCAGCAATGGTCCAGAGTATCGCTCCGGACTTCTGCTCGAGTGTTAGCACGTCAAAGTGCCGGCCATTTCCGTGCGCCACCGCCGCGATAGCCGTTCCAACATTCGTCCATCCGCAGACCTGTAGCAAAGATCGTCAGCAACTAGGAAACCTCGGATGATATGTCGCACTGGAGACGATCGAATTGAAGCTGAACTGTTGCTTAATACAGACGCGACAATCAAGTAGTCGTCGAGATGAAACTGCTTCAATATTCTTCCTCTGACGAAAAGTCTCCCAGCGGTGAAGAGGGTGCTGAGGACCGACATAGAGATGACAATGCCAAGAGCCACGGGGCCCTTGTCTTCGGCGTTTCGGTTGAGCGGCACTTTTCCAGACATTGCTCCAGAAAATAGAGATGTATGAGAATAACGAATCGAACAAGAAGAATGCCTCAAAGACAGATCGAAAAGTTGGCGGCGGCAGTCACCAAATAGGAGAACTGTGATACGCGGTTGTCGGAAAGAATAGACAAGCTTTACTTGGCCTCGGTCAGAGGGCCGGATTCATGATGATATGAAGACTGCGGCATTTCTCGAACTGCGATCAACAGTTGGACATGTGTAATGCGCAATTGCCCCTTCTCCTATCGACATCAAAAGTTCTCAATCAGTCCATCGATGACACTTTGGCAAATACCTCGCGTGAGCTTCCACCGCTATCGGCGATAATTTAGTTTTGGATGACAAGGAACGGTGATTAAAGGACCGATTTTCGATTTTCAATTCTCAAGTTCCAACTCATGTATTCCGACAAAATGTAGGAGCGTATTGAAGACTTTCGTATTCCTCACAACATGGGTGAACCAACAGCCCGGGGACCCGGCGACGCGCACGCACTGAACCAACAAACAACACCAACACAAGATTCTCATTCGCCGCCAGGGTGGAAATTCTACAAAACCCTTGACAAAAGATGTTTGCTTTCGCCTGATTTTTGAGTCTCCTGTTCTCCCCGCCCCTTGCCCGGGTCTTGGTATAGAGCCATGCCAGAACGTTATCACCAGATACGCTGAAGAACCCAAGACTTTTTTGTTGCCGTCGTTGGTGCAGAGTCGCAAATAATCCCAGACAGAAGTTTTCATTATCCGCAAGACTTCCCTTTTGGGAGTGCAATTTACAGAATCAGGTACCGACGCTAGAATGTTGTGGTCAGAATCGGCATGAGAATCGCCGCCTCCATGTTGGAAAAGCCAAAGGTGGTCCCTCTTGGGCAAACCGAGTTTCTCAAATCCTTTGCTTCGCATTTATACATCCCCTCCTTTTTGTTGTGCTTTACTTTCGGCAACATCTCTAATTCATTTCCAAACTTCCCATCACCATTGTAACTTGACCATTTCAATCCTAAAAATGGGCTCTATCCCGGAGCAGACGCTTTTGGACACCTCCATCGCTACCCAGGCTAACGATGCCGAGAGCGTAGCACTCCTTGCCAACGCCATCGGCACTCTTGGTACATCCTTCCTCCCCGGCAATGAAGAGAGTCGTCTTGCGCTTCTGAAGCAGGCCCGATCGCTGCTACAGGCACTGGAGACCCCAAGAGAAACAATGATTAAACATTGTTGGGCTCAGGTGAGGACATCTGCCTTCTGCATCTACTTCCGTTTTGTGAAAGCACTTACTAAGTAGCCGTTACCATCAGCCGGCTGTGACCTTCGTCATTGCGACCGGCATTGAGTCGGGCCTGTTTCAGTACCTGGCCCAAAACCCTGGTCCGAAGACCGTGGATCACCTAGGCAAAGCACTTCGCTTCGATATTGATGTACTTTCTCGCACACTGCGTCATCTCTGCTCGATGGGATACCTCAAGGAAGTTAACTCAGATGAGTACGACGGCACGAACTTCACCAAGTCGCTGAGTTTACCGATTATAGCCGGTGGATATCCTTGTCTGTAAGACTTGCTTCAAGCTACTTTTCCTTCGTTGTGCTGCCGTTTCTATGGACTGACCATCCTGCCACATCACTTAGCGTCGAAAGTTGCTGGCCGACATTCTCGAATTTCCCCTTCTACCTCAAGAAGCACGACTGGTCCATCTCGCCGGATCCAAGAGATGGGCCGATGCAGGATGTTATTGGTAAAGACAACAACTTCTTCAAGCACATGATGACCAACCATCCCGCTGGAGAATTCCAGAACCATATGGCCGGATACAGGCAAGGACGGCCTTCCTGGATGGATGACGGATTCTTTCCTGTTTCAGAGCGCCTTGTCAAAGACGCAGACAATTCACCAGAGGCGACTTTTCTGGTCGATATTGGCGGTAGCATTGGTCACAATCTAGACGAATTCTGTCGAAAGCATCCCACTGCTCCGGGCCGACACGTCCTTCAAGATCTTGAATATGTGCTATCTCAGATTCAGAAGGTTGACCCTAAGATTGAGCCCATGTCGTACGATTTCCACACAGAGCAGCCCATCAAAGGCGCAAGAGCCTATTATATGCACTCTGTCTTACACGACTGGACGGATGATGTTTGCGGGAGCATCTTGTCGCGCGTCACTGCGGCAATGAAACCGGATTACAGCAAACTGCTCATCAATGAGAATGTGATTCCCTCGATTGGGGCTGATTGGCAGGCTACGGCGCTAGATATGATGATGATGACACTCTTCAGTTCCAGGGAGCGAACAGAAGAGCAATGGCGCAAGCTTCTGGAACCTACTGGTCTCAGGATTATCAAGATTTGGTCAGCGGGTGAAGGCGTGGAGAGCTTGATCGAGTGTGAATTGGCATGAGTGAAGGCCTTGGAACATACGTGAATGCTCGCAATGATGAAGGATGAATGGTGAGATGTTATTGCCTTGGTCTTTAAAACCACGGTGCTTGGGAACGCCGTCATGATACTGGTGGATGCAATTAGTTAGAGAGCGTAGTTGCATTAGATCAGTAAGCGGGACTGGGATCTGTGGTCCGGCGGCAACAGAAAAAGCACCGAGAGATAGACATATCATTCCAACTTCTCGTGCCAACATTAGAACGATTCGTTGCCACCAAGCGTCGTCCGTGTCCAAGTACCTTAGTAAGATTGCATTTGATCAAGCCAGATATCCGGTGTTTTGAGCATTCTATATCAGCCTGCGCAAGCTCAGTTTTCACCCGCGACTATGTCTACCCCAATTCGAGTCGCCGCCTGCCACGTCTCGCCTATCTTTCTCTCCGCGCGACGCACAACCGAAAAGGCAATCTCCCTCATTCACCAAGCATCCAGGAACAAAGCAAACCTCATTGTCTTCCCAGAGACCTACATCCCAGCGTTCCCTATCTGGTCCTCCCTGCGCGCTCCCTTTGAGAACCACGACCTCTTCAAGTCCATGGTGCAGGAATCCGTCCACATTGACGGCGAAGAAGTCGACGCTCTCCGCTCCACGGCAAAGAAGCTCAACGTGCTGCTTAGCGTCGGCATTTCTGAAAAGGCCCGCTACAGCAGCGCGACGCTTTTCAATACTAACATCATCATCGGTACTGAGGGAGAGATCCTAGTCCATCACCGAAAACTCATGCCAACGTTTTTCGAAAAGTTGACGTGGGCGCCCGGAGATGGCTACGGCCTGCGCGTCGCAGAGACGCGATTTGGAAAGATTGGGAATCTCATTTGCGGGGAGAACACAAACCCGCTTGCGAGGTATGCGCTCATGGCGCAGGGAGAGCAGATTCACATCTCCACATGGCCTGCGATATGGCCGACGAGAGTTCCGAAATCCGAGGAGACAAGCTCTCGAGAGGGCTCAAGCGCAGCTAAAGGAGCCAACTATGACAATCTTGCTGCCAACAGGACAAGAGCGGCTGCACACTGCTTTGAGGCTAAAAGTTTTGGTGTTCTCTGCTCAGGAGTCCTGGGTGAGGATGCAGTTGAGGCTGTTTCTTTGGGTGCGAGTCAAGAAGAAGTGGTCTCCCAGGCGTTGCGGGATTCGCAACGGGGCGCGACCATGTTCTTGGACTCAACGGGCGCATTGTTGCCGGGGTTTACAGTTGAAGAGGGAACTCTCCGAGAAACCCCGTCAGCATTCTTGCAAAACGAAGAAGACATTCTATACGCAGACTTAGATTTTGGTGATTGTGTTGAGGGGAAGCAGTATCATGATGTGGTTGGCGGGTATCAACGCCTCGATGTGTTCGATGTCAAGGTTGACCGTAGACGGCGGGAACCGGTTTTGTTCAAGGGGGGTCATCTCACACTGAAAAGAGAAATATGAGCTTTTGAAGAAGATTGAATCAATCGAAGACACATCATAAGATTATTATGACAATTGGTTGGGTACGGACTAGCTACAGCCTTGTCGCTCATGCCGCCTTCGCGAACCCAGTCTCAACAACCCCAGGCTGTTTCCTGAACGGCTGCGGCGCCGTGCCACTAGTCATCGTACACTGCCACATCAGTCTCTTCTTTTCCTCGTCCTCCTTATACTGAGCCAATTGTCCTGTGATGCTGTGCATGACGCCGCGATTGTGGAAGATGACGACGTCACCTTCCTCCCACCGGTGAGCGTAGATATTCTCCGCCGCCCAGATTCTCTTCTGGAAGCCGTAGATGATTTCGCGGACCTTGGCGACATCTTCTACAACGGACACCTCGCCCGTCACCGGATTCCGAGTTGTCAATTTGAATACGCAGCAACCATGGACCTGGAGAAATGGTCGGTCGGGGTTAAGGGGGTTGCGCCAGACCATCTGAAGCTTGTCAGGACAACATCGAGAAGAATCTAGAAGGGACTGAGTGACTTACGGGATGTTCAGCAACATTTTCCCAAGCCCATTCGGAGAGTTGCTCTATGGGTATCTCTTTCCCCATTGTTGGGATTGACAAGCCGTCCTCCGTCGCTTTACATTGTCTGATGTATTCGTAGGCTTGAGGGGCGTATGTTACGGTTGTGTTCAGAGCAAACTCTTGCTCAGCCGGGGTAAGCAATTGGAATGCTCGTGCCCCGGAGAAGACTGTCGAAAAGGTTAACTATGCTTCTTCAGAGTACGAACTCGAGTACTAGACTTACAGGCCGTGGATCCAGCGGCGATACTCTTTTCTTTCCCGTCTGGAAATTTGAGTTTCTGGTCAGGCAGGTTCGGCACCTTAACCGCGTGAAGGATGGTGACTTCGCCAGGCAAACGCTGGTAGAAGGGAGTGTCCATGTGCCACCGGTATGGACGGGTATATCCATGGCTTAGCTCCTGGTCCGACAGAGGCTTCTCATGGAACAAAGTATGATCCTAGCCGGGTTTGTTAGCTCAGATCGCCAATGACTCACGGTTTTCGAAATTCGATTAATCAGTTGATCGAAGAAAGGCTCCAGGCATACCAGATGAATCACCTCCAGCTCTTCAACTCCTTCATAGTTCTTAAACTTGCCGCTACCGATGATGCCCACCTGCGGTGCTCTTGGAATTCTTCCTGCCTTGTATGCCGAAAGAATATTCCTGGGGTCACTGACGGCTTTCTCGCCAGCAGAATGAATATCAGTCGCAGTCGGGTCGAAGACTTTGGTCAGCTTAGGCAAAGTCTCAGGCGCGATGCCCTTCTGGTTCTTGATGACCACGACCTGGTTTTCGAACAGGGCTCTTCTAAAGGTGTCGAGGTCTTCTTCTGACAAAGCGTCTACTTCCAGGACATCCATTGATGATGGCAGGTGAACTTCGGCCCCAATCAAAGAAGACTCACGAAGAGAGGTCGGGAGCTCTTTGAATGAGAGTCCCTGAGATGGGGAGTTGAGACTACCCATTGTAAGTGAATGATTGACGTGATGAGGATGACAAGGCTAGAGTGTAAGATTGACAGAGTCTTTAAGTTGATGGGCGGTGTATGAGCCCGGGTAGTCGCCTGAACTTATAGCCAACCACCACTCTTACCTTGACATCAACGACTTCAAACTTTCTTCCAATTCAGAGCGGGTGAGTTGAACACGCTCTTCCGCACCGCGAGGTTCGTACTTCTCCTTTCATGTAACACGCAGTGACGCGTAGTAATCGTATTGTCATAGTCTCTCATTGGCCGAGCGATAGGATGCATGCGGGCGAGTCCTTCATCTCACCCGCACGGCACAGGATCGGCCCAAACACTGTTCCCGTCGATTATCTCCGGGCACACAGAGACGCGGGCCAGTTTGTGCAACTTGCCCGCACTAGCCAAATGCATCTCTGAAAGAACGTCTTGGTTGGTATATATACGGTAATGAAGTCCAAGTGTCTCTCCTTCAGGGGATATTCAACTCCCCGAATGCGAATCATTGCTTTGTTCTTATCTTCATCATGGCAGTCGTTGGGGTCAAGATTTCCCCTCTCCCAAAGTCGTTTGAGAAATCAGCGGTCGATTTCGGAGCCCAACTTTCGGGCATTGATCTCGAACGCATCGACGGCAAGTTCATGTGTCCAGGAACAAACACACCCATCAAGCTAACCACATGCGTAGATGGAAGTTTCCAAGTTATTAGAGATGCCCTCTATAACAACAACGTTGTCCTGATTAAAGGCCAGCACAACCTCTCACCAAAAGCCCAATACGAACTCACCCGCCTATTCGACCCTGAAGCAAGCACATACAGCCATGGTTCCCGTATCGACAAACGCAGCGTCCTCCACAAAGATCTAACCACCCTGCCGTCCCAGCCGCAAGTGCAGGTCATCGGCCACGGCGCAGTAGCCGAGTTCGAAGGACTGAAGGATCTCAAGCTCACTCACCCTCACCACAAGACATTTCACAAGCATCCTATCCCGGAAGCCGAGAACTACGATTATACCCACTTTTACCGATGGCACATTGACTCCGCCATGTACAACCTGGATCCGCCTCTCGTCACGTCGCTTTTTGCGTGCAAGGTGCCTAAGGGGCGGCGGCAAATCTGTCGCTACGACGACGGGACTGGAGACGAGCTCGAGGTACCCTTGGGAACGACAGCTTTCATCAGTGGATACCGCATGTTTGAATTGCTGTCGGAGGAGGATCAGGAGTTTGTCAAGACTAGTTCCGTTGAGTACAGTCCACACCCGTACATCTGGATGAGCAAGGCAAAGGCGAGATCAAACGGCCTGGGTCTTTTCTCAGAAGGTCTAGAGTTGTCCGAAGACCAGCTCCCAGAGATTGACGAGAAAAAGATCAGGAGATACCCACTGGCATGGAAGAATCCGGTGACGGGGAAGTTTGCCATGATGGTGTACCCGACGCCGGCGCGCAGGATTCATCTTAAGGACGGAACGGTGATGGAGGACTTGAAAGAGGTCAGAGAGTTGATTTACAGACTGCAACGACCAGCCATCAGCCCGCAATACGTGTATCCTCATGATTGGGAGGAGGGTGATCTCATTCTCTTCAACAATCACGGCGTTATGCATTCCATTGTTGGAGCTTTCGCGGAGAACGAGGTCCGCCTATTCAGACAGTGTAATATGGCAGCTAGCAGGCCACCTCAAGGTTACGACAGCTGAGAACATGAATAAATTGTAAGCCAGCTTATATTCATTGATATGCCCCTGTTAGGTTGTGAATCCCATTAGAAGAACGAAGCCTACCTCATCCGGATATACCCCTTTTAATCACCGTGATCATTGAAGTTTACAAGCCAATTTCACGATAACCTCGTCTGCTGAACCTCCAACTTTCTCAAACTTCAAAAGACGGACGATATTAGAAGATCTGGTTACAAGAATTAGAACTAAGTAGCGTTGCGTACTTCAAATTGGCTCACCAAAGTAGCCACAACTTTCAACACCTCGAAAACGAATATATTCTTGCCAATGCACGGTCGAGATCCCTGCCCAAAAATGAGCTCCGTCTTCTCCATTAACCCTTTCCTTTCGAGGCATTCCTCGTTACTCTCCGCCTCTTTCTTCATCCATCTCTCCGGGTTGTATACATCCGCATCCTGACCGTACACACGGCGGTCCCGGTTGATCTGAGAAGCTGGGCAGCCGATAATGATGTTACCTGGTATAAACACGCCATTGGGCAGTTGCAAGCCCGCAGAAGAAGTGATCCGCTGCAGATAAACGAGGCTGTGCTGTGAATACGTAAAGCTTCTTTGACGACACCCACAAGATAAGGCGATTCCTGAAGTTCGTTAAAAGTCGAAAACGGACCACATCCACCTTCTTGAAGTTCCGCGTACAACTTGTCCTGCGAGGCTAGGTTGCTCGCCAGGCACTTGCACGTTTCGTGGAAAGTCTTCCCGGGGCTGAGACTTCCGGCAATCAGGTTCCCTGATGCCGATATTGCGATCTGCTTGATCGTCATGAGCTGAGGCTGAGTCTTATGCGTAGCGACGGGAAGCCCAATGATGTTATCTATCAGAAAGCCTGGCGTCCTAGCCAGTGCGACCCGCGAGATGGAAGGAAGGATCCTAAGGGCTGGGGCCGACCTGCAGGCCTCGATAGTCGGTCTTGTGGCAGCATTCACACACGCTTGAGCGTAGGAATCGCACTCATTTTTGCCGCCTCACACATTCCGCTTCGGATGCTGTGAGACTAAGCCCAAAGAACACGGCTGCGGTGAGGAAGGAAATCTTCATTTTTAATGGTTTTCGATTTTTGAGTGGAGCTGGAGCGCGCGGTGCTAGAGTAAGTCAGTTTGATTCTACGAGTTATTCGACGTCTTGATTTTTGATCTTAAAAGAGAATGCGCCTTCTAAACTGCAGAACGCTATGCGTATAATCATACCAAGAGTGGAGGTAGAGACTAGATATATCGCTTTTCGGCTTTCGTACCGTCTGTCCGCCCAGCCTCTCTTCGCGGTCACCTATGCGGACTCCCCGAGCGAGATTGTCGATGCCGGAGATCGAGCGACACAGACAGGTGATATCCATCCCAGCTATTAAATGACTCGTTGAACGTTTACCGCCTGTCCTGTCGGTATCTTACGGAGCTTCAGAGACCGAAAGTTTGATTTGGTGCGAACCTGGTAAATCAACTCGTTGGGTAGTGGGCAAAACCGCTACATCAATATTTATACTATCGATACGATGTCCATCATCACTTGAGCGCTTACATAGTGGAGTGTACCGATCAATCACTGGCTACATGTTTCTGGTCAGGAAGGATGTAGATGCTCAGCACGTATGCATATCGCAGTTTCCCGCCAGCTAGTCCGTCGTCCAAGGCGGCGTTCGAGACTGATCTTCTAGATGTTATGCGAACTCCACTACCCATATCGCCTGGTGTTTGGTTCAATCTTCTCCGTCGGCCACCGCGAGAAGTCCATATGAAAATCTAGCCTTGAATATAACGCTGCGTCTCAATAGCCCGAGCCAGAAGAAAGCTGTTCACCAGTAGGAAAATGAATAAGACTAGTCCTTTGCAGCATAGCGACGTAATTAGAATGAGCACAAATGGGTTGGCATTGTGTGTCAAATCTGTAGCATAAGAAACTTCTCTCGTATAGCAATCCAGTCTACTGCCATCAAATAGCATCTCAGAATACCCAATCATCATTCAGCTCCCGGATCGGGACGTGAATGGGCCCATCGGCTAACACATTCACCCGTTGCGCCGCAAGTCGATGCTCGCGCGCCGGGAGCTGCTGACTCTGCCTACTCGTTCTCCTCCACAGTTCGACGGCGAGAAACAAGAAAATGATAATCGGCGACAGCCTGAATGTCCAGATAATTAGCCACGGAACTGACGTAGTGACCCATTGCGCTAATCTGAGCAAGAGGACTATTTGGATGAGGACCGGTAAGAAGTAAAATACCCACAGGCCAATCACCCCAAACTCCCTTCTCAAAGCGATTACGAACGCGTGGTTCTTCAAAACACCAATACCGTGACTGATAATGAATATAGTACATGGCAAGACGAAGAGCAGGGATGGGTTCAGGAGATCGTGTGCTGTGCGGTTGCTGTAAACGTATTTGACGATCTGATAGTGTATGGCGATGGTTGAAAGAATGAAGGCGACCTTGGGAACGAGTCTCAGACGTCTAGGAGGAGTATCCATTTGGCGACTTGGTCTCAAGCGTGTATAATTTTGTTTATATTTGCGTACGTGGGTGTGGTGTGTGTGTTTGTGTCTTCACTGACGATTAGCTTACATCTGCTTCCCACGTGTTGGGTCGCGTTCTCTTATACATGTTTGGTTTACCACCAGCTTTGTTGCAGTCACGATGGTTGACCTTTGATCATCAGACTGGTGTTCTGGTTTACCCAGATTCAGCGAGAGAAAGCTGCCTGTGAACCAGTCACTTTCCAAACAATGGACAAAGGAGAGCATGCCAACTATGTTTCTACTCGTACTGTTTGAAAACCCACGCGACAATTTCAATCATCTCAAAGCCAGGATATTCAAAACAGAACCACAAGTATTCTTTTAAAGGCTTTGAATGAGCTAGGCTTCTTTCTTCGGACAAGAGTATTGTTACGATCTACCATTGTGGATGAATGACGGTGACTCTTATAAACCGCTCTTGAGCAAATTCCTTCAATTCCCAATTAGTATGTGTTCAAGTGGGTAACAATCCTTCGCAACTCAACACAACACTGGCCTCTCCTAGGAAACACTCAACGGCGTCGTCAAATTGTACGTTTATGAGATTGGTCCGGCCACCCCCCTGCTTTCAACTCACGTGTGGTCACAGGCTCTACTCTCTCCGACTAGTGCTTCAAAGTCGTTCTCAGACCTCGATAGCCGGCATTGTGTAGTGTGCATTTCTACAAAAATAGTTTTTCCTTGTCTATGGAATATCATTGACCCAAATAGTGGGCCTTTGCGAAGGTACGTCCGCATTGTCCTGCACCTGTCTCTCTCTGTTTCATTTTGGCGTCCAAATCACGTTGTTTGGAATCTCACTGAGATGTATACTTTATCTCACAACGCTTTGCTCGAGTTCACTGTACACACTTAGAAGCGACGGTCTAATTTGCCACAAGAGCCATGGAAACTTACGCGGCAAGCACCACTGTCCTTACCTTGGATATTTGGTCTAGCCGAAGTTTTTTTTTTGTGACTGCAGGTACTTGTCCCCGTGATTTCACGGATGGATCAACTCCATCCATTTTATTCACGTTGGGATAGCCACTTCACCTCGGGTCATTCGAGGAACCTTGCTGCTCGCAGCGGGCGGACGCCACTTTTAGTGCACGCGGGACTGACGTCCGAGAGTTGCACCTGGAGCCGAAGGATCGCGCGTCTCGGCCGACGGGTTCGGTTCCGCTGGTGGGGGTGGGTTGTGACCCGCGCCGAGGATAAAAGCGGGCTGCGTGTCGGGCGTTGGGGGTGTATTTTCCCTTGGGCCGCCCGAGTTTTCCGATTTTCGGAGATGGGCTGCTGGGCTAGTACATACGTTACTCCAGCATGTCAAACCGAATGGAATGGAGGAAATGAGGAACAGGTGGTTTTTCAGAAAGAGTATTGGTGCTTTTGCGACTCGTGAGTTTGCAAATATCTGGGTACTATAATTGTAGGAGTGTTTTGTTACTATTCAAAGGGGGCTGGCTTACTGTTCTTTTACGACCGTTTCCAGAGGTGACACAGGACACTGAAGATGTAGATAGGTATGATGGGGTCGGTCTCAATAGCCTCGCTCGCCTTGGAAGAAGAGTTGGCCACGGGAAAAAAGCCAGAGCTTTAGCAATGGTGTCACTGGATTCTCCGAGTGGTTGACGGGCTCGAGATACAGTTTTTATTGGATTCAATGGACTTTGACATGCAATTATACTGCACAGGTCACAGGTGACAGCACCAAGATGCGCCAACTCAGATGATGGCAATCAACCTAAAAAGACCGGGCTGCCTTGACCTCACGAACAGCTGCACCCAAAAGTATTTCATGGTGTTTAAAATTTCTCTTCATTATTCGCATCTTTCATGCGAAGCAAGAAAGCGGAGAGTTTCGGTAAACCAAAGGTCACCTTTTTCCTAGACAAAACCTCTGTATCTTCCAACCAAGGTAAAAACAATAGTCTCCCTTGACTAAATCTCCCCAAGTTTTCTCTTCAAATGTCCCTACTCAAACAACCCGTCAAACGCCTTCTTTGATGATGGAATCATCCCCGTGGTATACATTTCAGAACAATCGAGTTTCCCCCTTTCTTCCCAACGAGTTTCCCCGCCAAGTACCGTAAAAGAACGCCCTTGTAAAATAGATGTTGCCAAAGTCGTCAAAAATAGTGTCAACTGCCAGGAACTCGCGCCTTTTCCTTTCTTTTCTTCTACCCAATGGTCGTCGGTTTTTGTAAAAACATCCTGATATGATGCACTCACTCCATCTCTTACTTTTTCTTTGATTTTCGTATTCGATAATGCGTGCAAGGACAAGACACAACCCATCAAGACCAAAAAGGTCCCTCGGCCTGAGCCCGCTGCCACTGCTGCGCCTCCGCAAGCCTCTTCTCCAACGCCTCATTCTCCTTCCAGAGCTGCGAATTCTTCTTCTCCAAGTGCGAGATATACTCGGTCGCCTTGCTCAGAATCGTCGCCTTGTTAAGCTTGCGCGCGGGCATCAGCCCGCCGAGCTCCTCGACAACGTCAATCGCCTCGTCGCTCTCGGCGGCGGCGGCGGCGGCTTGCGGGTTTTCGGTGTGCTGGACGACGCACCGCAGCGAGGGGACGGCGTCGCGGAGGGCAATGATTTTCTCGTTGATGTTGACGCGGTAGCGCTTCTCAATCATGTTGTGCGGATTCTTTGAGGGTTCCGAGTGCTTTGTGCGGCGGGCGGGGGGCTCGGGAGAGGCGGAGCGGGAGGAGGCGGAGGAGGCGGAGGATTTGCGCTTGAGGTCGTTGTTGCGCGAGGATGTTCTTTGTGTTGTTTGTGTCTGTTGCTGTTGGCGTTGCTGCTGGTGGTGTTGTTGAGGGCGGGATTGCTCCGGACGGGAGGAGGGTGCGGATGTCGTCCGGGCTTGGCGGGGCGACTTTGCGGGCTGCTGGGGTTGAGGCTGTGGCCGGGCGGGCGCGTCGAGGGTCTGGAAGAGGGGCTGTGTGTCGTTGATGCCCTCGCGGCCAAAGGCGACGGCGTCGGACATGAGATCGGACGGGTTGGCGCTGGGGCTGAGGGTGAGATTTTGGGGCGAGAGGAAGGACATTGGGCTGCCGAAGGATTCGCCGTAAAAGACGTCGAGGTCCGGGGAGAGGGCGGGCTTCTCAAAGTAGGCGGGCCAGTCGCCGCCCGTGGGGAGCTGGAAGGAGGAGGTCGGGAAGACGGGGGAGACGGGAGAGCCGCGGGACGGGGCCGAGTCTGCGCTGAAGTCGGCTTGGGTGTCGTAGAAGGAGAGCGGGGAGAGCTCCGGGGGGCTCTGTTGGAGATGAAGTGTTAGTTGGGTGCTGAGGCAGAGTGAAGAAGTGTTGGTTATGCAGGTGTCAGAGACTTGATGCCAATTGGTTCAAGTCGTTATGTGTAAGTCGGGAATGACAGTTTGGTTTAAAGGGTGGGAAGGAAAAAAAGACTACACACCATTGATTGAGGCATCGGAGGTACTTGATAATAGTCAAAAGACTGTTGTTGAGCCATGGTGCGATTCATGGAGGGGTAGGTTGACTGGGGTGTGGGAGGTGAGGGGGTTGGATCTGACGATGGACCGGTCTGGAGGAATTGTCGTTGATTGAAGATGCGAGAGGTTGGTGGCGTTACTCGGGAAGTGAGTTGACGAGGGGCCGGTATTGAGATATGTGTGTGTGCGTGTGTGTGTCGAGATGCCGATGGCGAGAGGAGACGATATTGAATGTTGGTATGATGTTACTTTAGATGAGGCTGATGGTTCGAGAGTGGACAGGTGGGGAGACACAAGACGGACGGCAAAGCTATATACTAGAAGGCGAGTAAGAAAAAAAAAAAGACATGGTGAAGCATGGGTACTGACTGCGTACACTAAGGAGAGTCAATGGCTAAGAAATCGGCCATGAGCCGGGGTAGAGGTCCGAATGCTGGGATACGGGTAGGGTGGGCGAGGAGGATGGGAGGATGGGGGTGATGGTAAGGCGTGGCGCGGGTTGGAACGGCGAGCACAACTGGCGATGGACGGGCTCGTCATACGAGCACGGGGTGGTTGACGAAAGGAAAATGTGACGAAAAGTACACTCCCACGACTTCACGCGGATCATACAGAGTCGACAGAATGAAATGGTACACAACAAATGGTACGGGCGGACGGATCCGACGGTGGGAAAGACTGATGATTGACATGAGAGGTGCTGTGGGGAGTCTCTTTGACACATGCACGAAAGAGGGTCTATCTGTACAGGTACGGGTACAGGGTACTTCTCTTGAGTGCTTCACCAAGGACTCTTCTCCTTGGACACTCACTGCTAGACTACGAGAGACTACGAGAGACGAAACCGCAGGGATGATTTTGGGAATAGGGCCATCTCGACGCCGGGAACAGCTCGGTGCGGGTGCAGTGCAGTGCAGAGTGCAGGCGCGGGTGGATATCCGGTCTTCCCAACGGCCTCTTTTCCTCACTATTACTGTGTATCCGTACTGCGTATGCAGCAGCTGTCAGGTCCAACAGGGAACTTTGTGCTCTCTCTCTCTCTCCCCCCTTCCCACTCTCTTTCGACATTAAGGTACTGTGTATGCTGCATATGTTAGGGCGTCGTATGCAAGACCTGCACTGAATCTATACACGGGTAGGTAGTCCAATAATGCACAGCCGCCCTCTGCGGAACAGTTCCCGTAGAGTGTCCTGTCTTGTCTAACCCGCGAAACGAAACGAAGATGAAAACTATGGTTAACCTCGGACTTGGTTGAGAGACAGAGAAAGGGAGAGGTTTGGGAATAGGTTCTAGGTACTAGGTACTCGCTACCTACTACTTGCTGCCCATGCCTAATTCCAGACCAAAGCTAGGCGGGAAAAAGCAAAAGAGCGGCTGACAAGGTCCAGGGGGGTCGGGTGCCCGGGGCCCGGGGGGTGTGTACTGTGTTTTTTGGTTGTCAAATCCCGGAAGGGGGGGGAAAACACTGAACACCTCACGACGAGATGGAAACAGAATAGAACGATCGAGGGGCATCTCGGGAACCTTGGCGGGACTTGCGTAGCCCGTCGCCAACTCTGCGGAACGCCCATGTTGACTAAACTGCCTGCGAAATTAGGGGGAGAGGAAACGGTTTCCATGAGGCCATTGGGGAGCCATTGAGGGGCGCATCTCATCGGAAGCGAGCGCGCCTTTTTTTTTTTCTTTCTTTCTATCATCGCGATCTGGTCTGCCTTTGACCAGGGCACCGTCATCATCTTGCATGCAATCTGACGATATGTTTGCGATTCAATCTTTTGGCGATTCATCCAAAGCGAAAAACCTTGGAAATCGGATATTTCGACCTTGGTTGTGGTGCCGAACGTGCCTTCAATCTCGTGCGATGGAAGTGGAATGCATCTGAATCAGGGACCCCCTCCCCGTGTCCCCCGTGGCCCCCCCCCCCCCGGGGCTCCCCAGAGGAACCCAAATCTGTCAGAAAATGCGCCCAAGACTCAGAAGCTCAAAGGACCATAGTTGCGAGCTAAAACCAAGATCTCGTTCATCTTGACCGAGATGGGGAGGAGGCTAAGTCTCTACGGTAGGAAAGGGGGGGGCGTGTGAGACTGTGAGGTGTCGAGTCGTGAAGCTGTTCGAGTTCAAACTTGGACGTCTGGCATTATTACCTAATTGGACGTAAACAGCGGATGGGGCCGGTGATGGTTACACATTGGATGGAAAAGGTAAATCCTGTTGGAGCTTTTGAGGACATTCACCATCATCGTGTATCCATAGGTAGGCAGCTAGAGAGATGTTATTTTCCTGACGTGCATAACGACATCCTGGACAATGCTGCTCCATAGACTGGTGGGATCATGGCTGACGTCGTTGCTCGGTGTGCTATCGACGATCAAGACAGGACCTCAAGAGTGTGTTTCTACCTCATAGACGGGAGTGTGTTGAAGCTGTCACTGCTCCTCCTGGCGGCCGTTGCGTCTCGTTCCTGTTCCTGTGGGTGACCGTTTAACAGGTGGCCCGCGGCAGGCAGAAAGCGATCGAGATCTCCAGGGTCCCTCCCACCCACACTGAGACTTTTACAATATGGCACTAACAGCCCAACACCTTACTGTACATAGTGTCAGGTAGCTGAATTCCACTTCTCTGGCATGCCATGTCGCCGGTCTCGTCAGCCCCCGAATAGGGAGGGCGACGGAGAAGGATTCAAAACTTTTGTCGGGCGCATCGCCGTGCGTCGAGGCTTGCCGGGCCACTCGACCCAAGAGGCAAGAGACATGTCGATGATTTTGCGCGCTGTGCTGGCTCAGCGACTCGGACACTCACTCCCCTCTTGGCGATTGCCAGGTTCCCGCCCGAGTCCCCAGACGTTCCGAGTGGTCGGGCTTCTGATGCTGCCGAGCACTCCAGCACTGATTGCAGCTGCCAGTATTCTTCATTCGGAATGAGCAAGATACCTAGGTCAGGTAGATATTCTCACTGCCCGGCTACTATTGGGCAAGGCAAGCAACATGAGGAGTTGGCAGTTGGCAGAGCTAAGAGAGTAGCGGACGTTTGCGACCGAAGGGTTGCTCAGTCAAGGCCCGAGGATGCCGAGTCACGGAGCCGAAGCGTACAGGATTCGCGTCCAGGGCGTTGAGTGTTCTGGGAGCAGCAAGGGCCCGCCGGTCTCCGGCAACGGTATTCAGGTCTCATGGATGACGGCGGTGCGTGCGGATAGTAGTGTTGTAGACGAGAAACGACATGGAACGAGTCATCTGTAATGATCGCTTTGCGTTGCCTCGCATCGCACACATCGCCGGAACTTCGACGCAATTGGTACGGCAGACAGCAACATGAGTAAGTAGACCAATGGAGAGATTAACAATATTGAAGGGCCTAGGAAGATTGCCAAGCTCGCTAAGGCTGAGTCTGATGGGTTCCTTGGTTGTGGGATGGCACGTTGGAGGTCTATGGAACGCATAATGGGCGCATGGTGGACATGAAGGGGCAGCGATGCGCCGATGCAGCACTGTCGAGTGTTGGTTCCAAGGTTGAGAGATGAAGTGTCGATATGATGGATGATGGGTGATGGAGTATCCGCAAGGTATGGTTGATGGTGTTCGGATATTGGACTGTTGGACTGTTGAATCGTTGATGATGATGTACTGCGTACTCTGTTGTTTGGTGATGTTGTCAAAATGGAGGGAGGGAGGGAGGGAGGGGGGTGTCTGGAAGGGAAGGGGGGTGTGGTGTGTATGTGGTGTGTGGTGTGCAGTGGAGGCAGGTGGTCTGATTTTCTTGCAGTGTCGAACGTCGCTGCCAAAAGTGACAAACAGCCCATCCGCCGGGGGAATCGAACGAGGCAGGAACCGCCCCAGGGCAGGGAAGGGACCCGCTCGGTCCAGACCGGAGCCAATGGGACGAGCGAACATGCGAACGAGTAGTCATCAAGTATCATCACTGCAATCATTGTATGGTAAAATACATGGCGAGGGTCCTCCCGACTGTTCCCGTGCTCCTGTTGAATTTTCAAAGTGGCCGTCTTCTCGTAACATTTTCATCTTTGATTCTAACAACAACATCTCATCCAATTTCTACTTCGTACCTTTTTTCTTTCATTCTCTTCCTGGCCCCTGTCTGTTTCCTCTTTTTTTTTTTTTCTTTCCTTCTTCTTTTCTTAATTTATCCGAACCCAGCAGGTCAGCAGCATGTCACTTTGGGCCTTGTGGTGACGGCATCCCAGTGTATACCATCTTCCATGGATGATCATTGATCATGGGGGATTGACATGTGCAAGCGCAAATGCCACGGAAAGCTTGCAATGAGCTATAGCTCCTCGCTCTGATCATAGCTCTAATGTTTGGCTGACAACCATCTTTGCCCAAACAACATGGCATATTAACAACACTCACACTCACTTGTGCAGCAAGCATCACAAAAAACTCCAACCCAGTCGACAGTGCTGATCGCCGCTACGGATCGCCCTGTTCCCTGCACCCGCGCCCATCCTACGGTGCCAACGTGCTCGCTTCTCCTCACTTACACGCACAGCTCTCCGGCTTTCTTCCACCACGAACCCCCCTCCAATTTCGCGGGTCTAGCCACCGTCTGCACATCATGTCGCACTCTCTCCCTCTCTGCGCAGTACCTCCCAGCCGAGGGAATACAGCCGAGGGAATACAATGTCAAAACTCACAATTCACTTATAACTTGAAAGGCAGTGACAGCAACTACAACAGGCAGCATCTGCGAACCGAGTGACGTCTAGACCACTGGCCAAGTCCTATTTCACGCAGTTCCTCTCCAGCCTTCCCTCCAACCCTTCCGACTCACTGCTATGCGGCCTGCGGCTTGCCTGCCGCTTCGAGGACACTTTGCTATTGATCCAAATTGATTCAAATATAGATTCGATACATACGACCAACGGATGCATTGCAGACCTCCGACCGCGAGACACATTTGCGCCATGCGGACCAACGGATTGCATGTAGATTGTGGTCCTGCCATCGGCCGTCAATCAGCCGCCGCCCCCCGCCCGTTTCCGCCCGGGCTTCATCCACATCCAGATCCCGAGCATACCACTCGCCGTCTACGGAGTACACTAACATGGAACCTGGACCTCGGGAATAACATTCTCTGTGCCTCGCCTTTTCTTTCTACTTGCGTAAAGGACAACGGATTGAGCAGTCCGGTGGTCCCGGTCCGCTCTCCGCCATTCGCCGATTGAAGAAATACCAAGAGCCCGAAAGGAGCACCAGCATCTTCCAAGTTCCGTGTTCGGCGAATCACTTACCCAAAGCTGCAACGACAGTTGGCACTCGCCATTGACCACACGACAGCTCGCCTCTCCGAAAAGCAAAAGAAAGGAAAGAATTACAAGAAGAGAATAAGCAAGAAACCGGAACGCATAGGTACTCGTCCCGTTCCCCAAGACACCACCTGCACATCACGGCGGCCGGCGCAAACGCACTCGCGGAGGGCCTCCCGGGCGGTCGACCTGCAGGATCTGTGCTGTGTTGCGCTGTGCTTTTGGGTAGCAAACGTACATATCAGTATCCCGTACTTCGTACATGACAACTCAACCCTACACTATGTGACTACCTACCCTGCTGCCTTAGTTCAAGGAGCTGAGGTGGTAGGAAGAGGACCCTGCAGCTCTTGTCCTCCGAGAAGCTAAACCTCTCTTGGAGTCTTGAGAGGAAATAAGGCGGGGGTTAATACAGAGTACCTCTGGCGAACTACCTATTTTTGCAGTTTGAGTTGGCTGGCACCGCTGGCAGGCCGCAGAGTGGCAGAGGCACACTTTCAACTTGCGCGCAACTATCCGTACAGAGGCAGAGAGTGTGGTTCGCATGGTCTCGGTTCGTCCCTTTTCTTGCAGGAAAATTGCTTTTTCCTCTACCCAGTACACTTTTTCTTCTCCTCCTTTTGCCTACATCCCCTGTCAATGTCCAGTCATAAGCACATACTTTCCAACGGCGCGAATGTGACGGGCTGTTTGTATCCGTATCTTGCTGCAGGTTTGCTCTCTCTTGCCCCCCTCCTTCCAGGGGCCCTCCTCAATGTTTGCCTGTCAAGTTCACATCCCAACGTCGCTTACCGTGGGGAACTTTGATGTGGCGATGAGAGGGGGCATCGCACTCCACGTCGGTCTGCAGGAGTTGCAGCTCGCGCACATTGGCACGTTGTTGGCACGCAAGGCACGTTTGGCGACAAACTTTCAACGGTTTGTGACGAGTCAAGACATGCATGCCTTTTTTGTCCCTTCGTTTCGTTTTTAGTTTTGTTCCAATTCGCACAATCGTGTCTGTCAATGTAACGCGGACCCTCGGCTACGCAAGTTGCCCTAGTTGGGGGCGACGTACTGGCCGGACGTGGATGTGTTGGATGTCGAAGGTGACAGATGGAGTGATTCAATGAGTCTGGGGCGCTGACTCCTCGCCCGACTGATTGTCTCTTGGCGTGGTTTCTGCCACATCTTGACTAAAGTGACTATCGACATACTCCGAACCTCTTGAGACTCACGATGTGGCTCCCCAAAGTCAGAAGCTGCGATGCTCAGTGGATATATCAACACTGAGATGGCGACTGGACCATCAATACTTGCTATTCCATCATCACCAGAAAGCACTCACCATTACAGGAGCGTTTCTAGAACAGAAAAACTACTCACCAACCATATCAAACAAACCCATCATGCCCTCTAGTAACCCCAACCCAGAACGCTCACCAGCGCCCGCCCACCTCCCCGCCGCCATCACAGACACGAACCCATTCTACATCGACATGAGCCAAGGTACGCACCGCAAGGCCCTCCAACCCTTCACCTTCACTTCCATCCTCACCCGCCGAAAAACACCCATCCTCGGCCCTCGCACCTCAGCAGAGATCCTCGCAGAACACGTCGCCTCCCGCCCATCGACACCAACGCCATCCCGTCCTCCACGAACCCCCGAGATGCCGTCTCCAGGATCACCACGCAGTAGCAGCAGCAGCCTGTCCCAAGAAATCTTCAAAACCCCAGAAAGTGACCACAGCAAACCCCGCACACGCATCATCTTCCCCCCCCCCCCCCCCCCCCACCCCGGCCGTCACCTCCTCAGCCTCCTCACACCGCAGCATCGACACAGACGGCGACATCCACATGAAAAACACCACCCCAGAAACCCACCCCCACTAACAACACGCCCTCCGCGTGTAACACAAACAGTCCGCGACACCTTTTCCCTCGAACGCGCGCGTCTGGCAGACGAGATTCGTCAAGAGGTCCTCGTTTCGCTGGAAGCAGGGATTGGACCGCTTGTAAGGGAGAACTTTGAGGCTGCGCTTGCGGAGGCGTTGGAGGAGCCGTTTGAGGAGGGGGAGGGGCAGAGGAAGAGGGAAGTCGCTGTTGTCAGGGTTGTGAGGGAAAGGTTGAGGGGGTTGAGTTGTGATGGGCTTATGGAAGTGTTTTGTAATGAGGAGGTTTTGGGGGTGCTTAGACGGGTTGTTGGGGTTGTTGAGGCGGAGGTTTTGATGCAGGGTTGGGATGTGGTTGGGTGATGGGGGTTTGAGGTAGGTTGAGGGTGTGATTTAGGGATTAGGGGAGAAGAATTTTGGATGTGGTGATGATGTAAGTTGGTGGTGATGGAGAGTTTAGATAGTCAAGTTGCCCATGAGGCTTATATTCCTTTGTGCTCGATACTTGAGGTGAGGTTCTTGAGGTTGTTAGTTCCCAGTGAAACTTGCTAGCCTTACGTGAGATATCATATCGGAAATTTATGGTCCTTCGATGCTCCTGTAGCAAAGTTGATATCTCGAAGCATCCGAGTGATTCGCTCATACAAGAGTTATAAGTTGGATTTCCGGCTTAGCTAGTCCCCGGAACAGCCTGATCGGGATTGACTACTTGGGGGAGACGACATAGTAGGCACCACAGACTATATCCTACACGGTACGACTGCCTCGAACACGTCTTATACCAACAACATGATAGAATGGTGTTGGTGAGAACACACATACGAAAGATTCTGGGCGTGTCTATCATGAGACAGCGTGGGCTAGAGAGATTGACGGTGGTCATTGTAATGTAAATCTCTCTCGGCGGACTCAGTCACTCTCGATAGTGATATCGTCAAATGACTTTGTCCTTGATGAGACGAGATGTTGCATTACTCCGGGTACGAGATTCAATGATCGCTAAAGGCAACTTTTGTGACATTGGTCAGGTGATTCCAGCCCGTTGCTGCCTCGTTTCTTTCCCTTCGAGGCCTATTCACTCTGAGATAATGAGGTTATATTATGAACCGTTTGATTATGGCTACTAAGTACTTGTTCCTAGCAGCGAGTTCAAGTATAATTTGAATGCACTTCATCCCGAACCTCGGTGTTTGGTCCACGTATTATTTTCACCTTGGCCTACCTTGGACGAACTCAAGCGAGAATGAGAGATGATTCGATTTCGATTCAAAGAGGGACTTGAGTTCGGTGTATTTAAAGAATTTGTTAATAGTCATCACGGGAGTTTATTGCTGTATCTCTTCCCCTCAATCCCCTTGAATTTTTTTATTAGAGTCTGCGAATTGTTTTTTTTTCATACTTTTTGACGAAATAATCAACATTAAGGAGGGATAATACAAATTCTGGGAGAATTTGTGTCTCACTTAAAAACTCAGTCTTTCCCTCCAGGGAAGAAACGGATCCATTTGAGTCGAAGCAAATTGTGTCGTTCAAGCTACTATTCGATAGTGCTTACACGCTTGTCAACGTGATGTGAGGCTGATATTGCACAGGGCAGCTGAGGCTTGATCCCGGAGCTGTCAGGACGCTAAAACAGCTCTACCTTAGCAGTGGCTTCCAGCTCCGGTTAGCTGGCAGGGAGAGCTCAGACCCACTGTTTCCTCTTTCAGCGCCGGGAGCAGCTGTTTGCTGGTGTCCTGCAAGGCTGCGTCATAACCTAACAGCTGTCCATCTGCCTGAGGTGGGCACTAGACCTAATGGAAGGTGGACCGTCTGTGTCGCGAAAGCTCCTCCCCTCCCAGGCCATCACCATCTCAGCCTCTCGACTCTCTCGATCCCGCACTTCTTCCCGTCGACCACTGCCGCCACGACGGCCACACACATACGGCGGCGCTGCTCGTCTGATCTCCCACTGCGCATAACATTGCCTTCGCCGCGATCCATTATAGTCCATTTTATTCCACTTGCGCTTCTCTCCTGTCTTTTCTGCCACGGTCCCTCGAATTGGGCCATGCCGCTTTGAGCACGGCACGTGTCCGCATCATCTTTCGCCATGGTCTCCTTCTGGCCCTGGAGGGTACGTCTGCCACGACCTAGGACTTCCTCATTATGCGCATAATGTGTATATTCTTAAAGAGGGAATAAATCACTGACCGACCAAATCATAGCGTGACGACTCCTCCCCCGCCTCCTTTGAGAAGACGCTCTCTGCGCTGTCTACCAAGATCACAGATACCCAGGCGAGACTCGATGGCGCGCGAGCCACCTCCCGTCGCATCAGAGTGCTCTGGTCCCTCTACCTCGCCTTTGCCTACCTCGTCTACTCCATCGTCATCTTCCTCGTGGTAGGATGGAACGACATGGGCGCCTCGGAATGGACCGGCGTCGCTGGAGGCCCCCTCCTGTATGTTGTTCTTCTGCTTTTCTCATAGAAATCTGTCTGCGCAAACTTGAGATACTGACCATGCCCTTCTCAGCATCTACCTCACGCGAACCACTGTCACGGCCGTGTTCAACTATCGCATCGATTCTCTCGCCGCTCGCCTCAAGGAGCAGCAGGCGGACCGCGCAAAGACGATCCAGAAGCTCAAGGACGCCACAAAGTACAACTCTACCCTGGAGCTCCTCGAAAAGTACGGAGGCGACGAAGGCAAGGGCAAGGGCAAGAAGCAGAATGCAGGGGAAGACGACAAGAAGCCGCGCCAGCAGCAGCAGCAGCAGGGCGGCAGGCAACATGAAGGCGTCGCACCAGGCGGCCGTACCAACATGGCACCCCCTCCCACCGCCAACATCCAACGCCGCGACGGACCCCCTCCTGGCTTCCAAGCAGGACGTCCCCCGCAGCAGCCGCCCAACGGCCTCGAGCCTACCGAAGAATTCGCGCCAAACGCCTACGCCCACCCGCCTCCGCCGCCCCCACAATCGCAGCAATTCGCGCAAGCCGAGGGACTGCCGGGCTCTTCGCACTGGTACGACCGCATCATGGACCTGCTTCTCGGCGAGGACGAGACGGCGTCCAAGAACAGGATCGCCCTCATTTGCAAAACTTGCAGGCTGGTCAACGGGCAGGCCCCACCGGGCACAAAGGCCCTCTCAGATATCGGCACGTGGAAGTGCATGGGCTGCGGGGCCACGAACGGCGAGATGGAGGAGGGAAAACGCATCATGCAGGAGGTCCTCGGCTCGTCGCGGGGAGTTGATGTTCCCACGGGCGAGGAGTTTAAGGAGTCTGATGAGGATGTTCCTATTAAGGAGGAGGAGGATTCTGATGAGCAATCTGCCGGCGCGAAGACGGCGGGACGACAGGGTGGGTCGGCAGCGGTGAAGAAGAGGAAGGGCAAGGGTGGCAAGTGAAATAAACAAAAATAAGGGATGTGGTGATGGGGAACCGCTGCGCTGGCTAGCTACAGCCAATTATTTCATACCATGATTGCAGCGTACAAAATAGAAAACATATCGACAGACTGGTCTTCCTTGTGCCCTTACCTTTGGTCACGGAGACACACTTACGCGTCGATGCCCACAATGCGTTCCGGGACCCGGAGGCTTGAAGATGGGATGCACCGCAGCGCCGGTGGATCGGAAGGCCGAATGTGGCTAGTGGTGAGGCTGAACGCTAAAGGAAGCAGAGGTCCCCACACACGCAACGCAACGCAACGCTCCTCGGTGTCCCTGGAACAGCTGCTGCAGGGCAGGCTGAGCACCTCACCAACGTACCTTACTATGTACTGCGTACCTTAAGGAAAGGACACTTGTGAATTCAAACCCGACGCATCCAATGTACGAAGGGTCCCTTTGGATGAAATTCCTCCCCGTCCACCACCACACCCACACACACACACACACGCATAGTCACCTTACTCACACACACCTCTTTCGCATTCTCTCGTCCCAAACAACCTCGTCAAAAGACCAACGCTGGCCCAAACGTTCCTTTTCTCCCTCTCTCCCTTTCTCCACGTAGTGCTTGCGCCACCAATAATGCAGCGCCCTTCGATCCTCGACATCGACCATTGCGCATAGCTCTCTCAGACTTTGAGCCACTTTTACCATTTCCTTCCCTGCTGCACCTTTAATTGTAAACGACACACACACAAAGAGAGAGAGAGAGAGAGAGAGTCCATGGTCACAGGGTAATCCCATCATCCCTAGATCGGCAACATGTTCCAGGTTCGTCTCTGGTTTTCCTTTCCAAACCCTCTTACTCTCTTTCCACAGACCCTCTTCCCCGGGACAAGAAAACCTTGATCTAGACCTACACGTGGTGGTTTCGGCTCTCTTTTTCCTCCCATTCTCCGTTCCTGCCCTCTCTGCTTCCTCCACCCCACGCAGGACCTATCCCCGCTGACAATGATGGGAATCCAACAGAGGCTCAAGGGTGCCATCGATCGGACAATCGCGGAGGAACAGGCTCGACAGGAGCAAGCACGACAGCGCATCGAACCAGGAGGAGGCACAGGCACAGGCACCCCGCGCAGGTCCGACTCCACCTCGCGGAGCAATCAGTCGCCCGCCCGACGACCCCGTCCCAAGAAGGCGGCAGCCGACGCCGGCGCAAAGGACGACGGCGGAAGCCCCTCGAACCCGGACCCTGCTGTCTTTGAGGCGGCGTTTGCGCTTGACGACAGCGAGGAGCCGAGTCGCGCAGGCACACCAAAGCCTGCTGCGGATAAGGACGGCAATATGGAGAAGAGCGAGGAGAACGTCAAGGATAAGGCGGAGGAGGGCCAGAACGGGGAGAAGGAGCAGGAAAGGGGCGCTGAGGGCTCTGCTGCTTCTGCTGCTGCTGCTGCTGCTGCGCCGCCGGCTGCTGCGGCAGAGATGTCTCCCGAGGTCAAGATGAAGCTTCGCAAGTTGGAGAAGCTGGAGAAGACGTACCCTGGTGCGTATACTACTCACTCGCATGCGCGCACCCAGATTACTGTATTACCGCGATGGGACTCGACACGCTAACACGAAAATGCAGAACTCCTCCGGTCCTACAGAATCGCCCACGGCCGCGCCACCTCCATCGAGCCCTTTGAGCGTGTGCTTAAGGAACACACCAGCGTCGGTTCGATCCGGGAACCCGAGGCCCTCGTCGAGTATCTCAACTCCTTGAAGCAGAAGGAGCAGATGATTATGGACGAGTACAAGCGGGTGTCGATCGAAAAGGATGACTTCAAGAAGAAGTGCGAAGCCGCCGAGAAGGACGTGGAGAAGTTCAAAAAGGAGGTTGAGGAGCTCAAGGCGGCGCAGGCTGCGGCACCGGCACCTGCACCTGCCCCTCCGACGGAAGAGTCCGAGGGCAAGGTGGACGCCGCCACGGATACAAAGGACGACGGCTCCGTCAAGTCTCCCGATGCGTCCGCTGTCAAGTCTCCCTTGCAGCAGGCTCTCGGCATCTTCTCTCCCAAGCAAAAGGCGCAGGAGCCTGGAGAGGAGAAGCCGAACGAGGCTGCGGGCGACTTCTTTTCCTACGACGAGGAGGCTCCCAAGTATGAATCCGACATGGCGGCCAAGGACGAGGAGATTGAGAAGCTCAAGGCGCAGGTCGAGACCGTCAAGGCGGAGCTCAAGACTGAGGTCGACTCGCTCAAGGCCGAACTCGCCGCCGCCAAGGAATCCAGTGCCGATCTGACGGAGAACCTCGACAAGGTGACCAAGGAGGCTGGTGAGCTGCGCGACGTGGCTGCCGTCAAGACTTCTCTGGAGACGCAGCTCGAGGCAAGGAACAACGAGATCAAGTCTCTCACCGAACGTCTGGAAGCCTCGCAGAAGCAGCTCAAGGAGGTCGAAGCCAAACTCAAGGGCGAAGTCGAGTCTGCTAAGAAGAACGCAAAGGAGGCGCAGTCGAAGCTTACACAGTCCAACGCACGCGCAGACAAGGAGGAAGCTCGCGTCAAGGAGGTGGAGGCCGCCAAGACGGACGTGGAGAAGAACATCAAGACCTTCACCAGCCAGATTGACACCTTGAAGAAGGAGAAGACTGATAACGAGAAGAAGATTGACGAACTTACTAAGCAGCTGGAGAAACAGGCGAGCGAATCCGTGCCCGCTACACCCACAACATCTGGGCCAACCGAGACGCCTGCGGCTGGAGGTGCTACTGGTACTTCAAAGAACGCCAAGAAGAACAAGAAGAAGAAGGGCAAGGGTGGTGCTGCCGCCGCCCCTGCGACGCCTGCGACGCCTGCCACAACCGCAGGAACCGCGACACCGCCCACAGCCGAGGAGGCCAAGGATGTTGACACAGATGCTCTGGAAGCGGAGATTACCCGTCTCAAGGAGGAGGTAACGACCAAGGACTCCCAGATTGAGAGGCTGACGAAGCAGCGCAAGACGGAGGAGGATCTCCGCGAGGAAATCGAGACGCTACGTGACGAGGTCACTGAGATTGGCCAGGAGCACGTTGTGGCCAAGGAGAAGATCAAGAACCTCGAGGCCGAGAAGAAGGCTCTGCAGACGCGGATCGAGGAGCTTGAGAAGGAGCTCGGGTCTTCGGCAAATGACGCCAAGGCGACGGAGAAGCTCCAGGGCGAGTTCGACAACCTCCAGCGCGAGTACGAGGACCTCAAGAGCAAGTCCTCGACGTTGCAGTCTGACCTCGGTGCCGCGCAACAGCTGGCGCAGAGCAGGTACAAGGATCTCACCGACCTGCGTGAGGTTCTGCAAAAGGCGCAGCCTGAGATGAAGAGCTTGCGTCAGGACTCTGCTGCCCTCAAGACAACCAAGGAGGAGCTTACCGCGAAGAACGCGGAGCTGCGTAATCTCGAGAAGAAGGAGAAGGATCTCAAAGCAGAATTGACAAGGGCGCAACGTCTGGCGTCGGACCGCGAGACGGAGATCAAGGCGCTCCGCGGCAAAGTCGAGGCCGAGACGAACACCAAGCTCCGTCTTGAGGATGCCCAGCGGGTGTCTGCGCGCGACTTGCGTCGCTCCGAGGCCGAAAAGGTCGAGCTCGCCGCCAAGGAGGAGAAGACGGCCCGGGAGCTCCAGCGGGTGCAGGAAGACGCCAACAAACTCCGGCCCAAGGTCAAGGAGCTCGAAGAGCAGATTGAAAAGCTGGAAAAAGAGAAGAAGTCCATTCAAGAGGAGGCGGACCTCAAGACGCAGCAGTACTCCAACGCGCAGGGTCTGCTGGGCAGTATGCGCGACCAGACGGGCGAGCTGACAATCCAGCTGAAGGAGGCGCGGTCGCAGTCCGAGTCGCTCGAAGAGGAGCTAGCCGAGATTCAGAAGCACCTCTCAGAGCGGTCGCGCGAGGCGGAGCGGATGCGTGGGCTCCTTGCCGACGTGGACGAGCGCGCCGATAGCAAAGTGCGGGAGATGCGGGCGCGGATGGAGGCTGCGATTGAGGAGCGGGACCGGATGGAGGACGAGTCGAGCACGCTCGCGCGCCGCAAGACGAGGGAGACGGAGGAGCTCAAGCAGAAGATCCGCGACCTGGAGCGGGATATCAAGACGCTTTCGACGGAGAAGGAGGAGCTGGAGGGCCGGGAGAGGGAGTGGAGGCGGAGGCGGGAGGAGCTCGAGTCCGTGGAGGAGAAGGCCGAGGCGGAGGTGAAGGAGATGCGGTCTGCTGTTTCGGATCTGCGGACGACGCTGGACGCCTCGGAGCAGCAGGTTCGGGACGCCGAGAGGCAAAAGTCTGATTTGAGGCGGTTGCTTGAGGAGTCGAAGCAGAGGTTCGATAAGGTGAACAAGGAGCTCAAGACAGTGCAGACCAAGCTTGGGGCGAGTGTCACGAGTGGCCGGAGTTCGATGGACTCGAATCGGTCTGGGTTGAACGGCGGACCTGCGGCTGGAGGTGCAGGGGGCTCTGCGGATACGTTGTATCTCAAGACGATTATGTTGCAGTTTTTGGAGCAAAAGGATAACAAGTTGCGGGAGCAGCTTGTGCCTGTCTTGGGGAGGATTCTCAAGTTTGACAAGTAAGTTTTGGTCTCTTTTGGTATGGAGCTGATGAATAATTTTTGCTAACATGAATTTCACAGGAGCGATGAGCAGAAGTGGAAGAGTGCGATTCAGCACATCACTGTCAGGTGAGGGTAGCTTTGGAGACGGATTGTATTAGTTTTGTATGAATAAATACCCCAGGATGGCTTGTTCCTATGCACATGATGGTTAAGCTATTTCTACGTGCCGTCAGTGGGGTATGTCTTTGTTACTGGTGCTGTGGTGTGATTGAGTTGAGGAGGCTCAATGTAAGGTAAGCCAAGGTGAGTGTAGTAAGGTGTGCTCGGTGAGAAAAGGTAAGTTGGGCCGGTCTAGAATGTCAAACTGGCGGGGCAGACGTCGGCTTACCTCATGCCATGTGCCCACCCATAGCTCCAGTCCCCCCGCGCCCGGAGCTCTTGCCGGATCTTTCCCTCCGCATGCCCAAGGATTGAGGCGACTGCATGTGGGTGTCGTCATGGAGGCTTCACTGACCTCATCCGTTCGTGTGCCTACCTCTCATGGCGGACACCAATTCGCTGCGATCCTTACCTGAGGAGCATTTTATTGTGTGTACGTCTTATTGTAGAATCTCGATGAAAGGGCTGCTTTCCTTAAAAGCACCGCTTGGGGCTTGTTGCAGTTGCTCCCGCTCGTGCATTGCATTGTGTTTAAGACGAATGGTCCTTCTGTGCTTCCCACACTTCAATTGGCGCCTTCTGCATCTAGCCTCAACGTATTAGACAACGATGAGATCATCCCTTGTACTTTCCCGTCCAGTCGTCATCTTGGGGCGTCGTTTATATAGCTCCCGCCTTCTGGCCTCGACTTCACCTCTTCTTCTACTCCCCCCCGCCACCAACACCAACACAACCAGATTGAGGATTCCCACCTCACTCATCACGCGAGCACACACGACAGTATCTTCTCCCGCCATCACACCAGCCACTCACACCACATCCCGCAAACATCCCTCCCAACAAGTCAAAATGTCCACTGGCCAAAAGACCTCTGGCCCCGAGGGCAACAAGCTCTTCACCCGCAGTCACCTCTTTGATCTCACCGGCAAAGTCGCCCTCGTCACCGGTAAGATCAATCCTTACCCCCTCCCCTAAACATCTCAATCTAACTCCCTCTAGGCGGTGGTACAGGCATAGGCCTAATGGCAACCCAAGCCCTCGCCTCAAACGGCGCAAAAGTCTACATCACCTCCCGCAACCAATCCAAGCTCGACAACACTGTCCAAACTTACGGCCAAAACGTCCCCGGCTCCATCATTCCCATCGTCGCAGATGTGACCAAGAAATCCGACATTGACAAGCTCTACAAGGAGATCGAATCCAAGGAATCCGCCCTCGATATCCTCGTCAATAATGCCGGGGTGTCGAGCGCCCCGATTGAAGTTGAGAGCGATTCCGCGCAAGACATGAAAGCCAGCCTCTTCGATGCTGAATCCGCCGATTTCGAAGACTGGACGGAGACATACCGCACAAACGTCGCGGCCGTCTTTTACGTCGCGGCAAGCTTCCTTCCCTTGTTGCAGAAATCCACAGACAAACAGCACGGCTGGTCCGGCACCGTCATCAACATCAGCAGCATCAGTGGCATGATCAAGAAATCGCAGCATCACTTTTCGTATAACGCGTCCAAGGCGGCGACGATCCACGTGAACCGCATGCTCGCCGAGGAGATCGCGTCCAATGGGCTCAAGATCCGGGTCAACAGTATCGCGCCGGGTGTTTTCCCCAGTGAGATGACGACAAAGGAGCCGTCTGACGAGGAGCAGAAGAGCGAGATTCCAAAGGAGAAGTATGCTGATAAGGTTATTGCGGGACGGCCTGGCAAGGATGAGGATATGGCGTCCACGGTGCTGTTTTTTGCGTGTAATCAGTATTTGAACGGGCAGACGCTTGCTGTTGATGGGGGGTATACTCTCGCTGCGGGGATGTGAGGTGGGGGATGCAAGGTGCATCGTGAGAGGAGGTTGTGGTACTACACGGGTTTGCTGCGGCGTTGGGGGTCATAAACATATGTTAGTGTAGGGGGCGATGCGAATAAAATTAATCGAATTATGCAAACGGACTTATTTCGAACCCTTATTGGGAGGGAGGGTCATGTGGTTGCCAACAATCAGTGTCTGTTGTAGTCGATTGCTGGCCGGTAGCATTCTAGCTCCCGTGAGCGAGAATGTATGTTGGCCTACGGTCCTACACAATGCTATAGATAGCTTTTTCTTTGTGCATTTCTCGGTGTGGCAATTTTGGTGGGTTTTCGATGTTTGGGGAATATGCGTTATGTATCCATGATTGTACTGGTACGGTACTTTGTTGCTGGACCCCGGTTCCTTGGGCTAAGAAGTCGCTGTTGAACGAAGGTATGGGAAGTGTAATTGGAGGTGTATTGGTTGAATCAGACAGAGGTATGGAGGTGGGCGGCAGGCCCTTTTATACATTCAGTGTTCAGAGAGCTCCTGTCAACCACTGTTGGGTCGCACATTTCAACAGTCGCAAGTTTGCACTGGGTTGCTCTGCCTCTTTATTTCTTGCTGCTTCCTGTTCAACGTGGAATACCTGGAGTTTGATCAAGCATTTTCATCCCCTTCGCCTGGCTAGACAACACCCTGACATCTAGTGACGGGTCCCGGTGGGCCTTGACCAGGTGAATGTCGATTTGGCCAAGTAATGACGATGCAATTGTGGCATACATGGTGTGACAAGTGAATTACTAGTATTCAATCGGGTCGCGGGACAAGTTATTGCCATATATCTAGTCCGTACGACAAGGTGAGGAATCGCGTTGAAAGTTGCATTTGACTGGCGCACGAGTTAGCCACGGTGTTTCTATGTCATTTTATCACATACTTGGTTGTTTTATTCTGTTCAAAATAGGAAGTATAGGGTGTTACCTTGGTAGTCCGTTGGTCTGGTCCACTACAGGGTCAATCAAGTGCTTTGCCGAATCCCAAGATGCTGTGGCTAGCATAATAATATTTATTGAATTATAAATCCAAGTCCAATCTCCAAGCGCATAATATTAAGCCCCCTAGCTAAAAGATATCTTTCATGAACTTCCAGCTCGGCTTAGCCCCAATCCGACGTCCTCCTACACCTATTACAACCTGAATGCATACTGAGCGCCTTTTAGAGCGAGCTGATGAAACGATGGTGTCGACACTAATGAAGCATGCCAGCGTGACATTTCCCGACCACTTCACCCTCGGCAGTGTAGTGTATCCAGTGACCAACATCTCTGTAGAAGAATGCGATTCCAGAGCTATAGTTAAGACCCTCAGCCATGGCCTTGTTCGTGCGCACAATCATAGCTTGCACGGCCCGATGATGCGCTTCGAGAACTGGGGAAACTTTGATAGAATACATAGTCTACCCCGGCCAGCGCCTTCGCCACCCGTACGGTTCAAGATACCGGGGGCGATGAATCGTTGATATTCAAAGCGCCATAGGTTTCCACCAAGTGAGTCAAGATTTGACTTTTCTCGTCGTCGTCAGCTTTAACAATACCTACTGGCCAGTGGCTTCGTACGGCCTGCGGCAGGCCCTTTTCTCTATTGTCAGGAAATTCGCTCTCGTTCACTGTGTCTTTCAGCAATGTCAACTCTTGTGGGCGCATGCGCCCCCCGAATAACTCGGAATAGAGCATTGGCCAGGAAATGATTGTGGCTCTGGTTGCCGAGGCCGTTTGCAACTAGAAAGAGTGTTGACCGCAGGGTTTCGAGGTCATAATCGGGCGGTTGAGGTTCTAACTGCATCGTTTCGATACAGTCTAGTCCAACAGCCATGAGGGGTATGACAATGAAAAGGTCCATGGCCTGAAATCCGTGACGGAGGAAATACAGCCGCGTCAAAGTCCCCAAAAATATTTTGGCCTTGGCTACGACATCGCGTGAAAAGGCCGATTTGGTCTTCTCCGACCCCAGTAATGGTTCATGAATCGCCAGTGTCAGATGGTGATAATACATACTATTGTCATTCTTGGTTAGTAAGTGCATGACCGAGTACCGCTTGAGTCTAGGATCGCGACGTTTGCCTCTTCCTAGATTTGTTTTCAATCGAACGCTTTCTGAGTCAATGGACCTTACTGAAGTTGCAGGTGTGCAGGAAGAACGATTGCTCTTGGCTGAAGTGATCTAGGCAAGCCGTTGAACCAACTTTTCAATCGCTCTGAAAGCGCTCCAGCTAGCCTAAGGCCAACCTCTGACGTGCCAGAATGGGCTCCCGCACAGAAATCATTCATAATCTCTCGAAAATGAGATCTAGCATGTAGGACTTGACCAAGGTTTGACGGCACAAGACTGTGCGCCAAAGGGTACTGCAGCCATATCTCTCCATACCATCCAGGATCATCCGCTGGATCTGGTAATGAGAGCACAGGAGGTGTTGTCACCAAGGGGTGAAGCCTGAATGAGAAGGCAACAAGTCTGAACAGGTAAAACAGTTAGCAACGAGCCGCGTGTGGCTGATGAATGCTCACGTTTCCCAATTGTACAAGGCCCAAGCAGCGTATGCCCAGCCTCTCCGTGTCCTTTCACTCTGATCTTTCGAACCACCATCAAAGAGACTCAGCTTCGATGCCAGCTTTACAGAATGAATTCGGTATGGCTGGCCAATTTCGTCGAGACCCCACAGGTTGTGGAAAACACTGAAGATAATCCCTGCCTGAATAGTCGTGACGCACGGTACTGAGGCCTCTAGTTCCCAGATACGTTTCGCCTCAGCAAGAAAGAGATATATCAGCTTCCGAGTGTTCCAGTACTCCGAGCGATCAGAAAATCCAGGGTAGCAGGTCTTTGGCTAAGTTCAGTACATCCCTAAGTAACAATGAGAGGTTGTTGGCGACGTACACATGCATAGGCTAGAGTGATATTTACGAGTAACGACGAGCAAAAATCAGTTCTTCGGGCAGTCAGATCTTCCAAGAATAAGTCTTTCTGAAATGCTGCAGTGAACTGATATTCGCATCTGAGGAACACGGCGAGGAGATCCCGCATGAGCACGTCGTCATCGCAAACCGAGGTCCACAATGATACCTTTGCATCATAAAGTAGTGGTTCAATAACACTAGCCCCATGGTGTGGCTTGAGATAGAGGCTTTCA